CCCCCCGCTCCTGTCCCCCGGCAGAGACAGGCCGTAAAATAGATGGAGCAACATTGTCTGACATCACAATAGTTGTTTTGAAACCAATCATAGCCTCTTAGACATTCACAATTAATTGTTAAGCCTACCTACAGACACATTGGTTTGACATGATTTATTTTTAAATTATCTATAGTTTTTTCTTATTGTTTTTTAACTTTAAAATTATTATTTTTTAAAACAAGGTGTTGTTCCTCCATTTCGCTTCTGGCGTACAGATTTAGGTGACTTATAGTGACAAATATCTCAGTCTTAAATTGAATTGTGGGTTCAGACTGGGTCCAAACTGCCACAGCTGACTTCCTGTAACAGTCATTGTTTACAGAAAGCAGGGGTTACATTCAGCATTTTAATCAAAGAGCTTGTTGAGTCTGTTCCGAGTCATCGGTTCGACGGTTCCTGCATGTGATCTGCTGTTTTGCATTGATATGGCCCCTGGCTTTAACTTAACACCTAAACACTGGTTGATACTTTTATTTTGTTCACTTATTTATGTTGCCTTCTCTTCTCCTTACAGCCACATTGATCAAACCACCACTTGGCAGGATCCTCGCAAGGCCCTGCTCCAGATGAACCAGGCTGCACCCCCCAGCTCTGTGCCAGTCCAGCAGCAGAACATTATGAACCCAGCCAGTGGTATGTACATGTTGATTTTGTTATATTCTGTGTTACCCCGCAAAGCAGCACATGACTCGAATTACAGACAATGCTTAGCAAATGGTAGGGCTTTCAGCATTTAACACAAAACTACATTTCCTTGATTGTTTGATTATTTCCTTGGTTATTTCAAGGCATTTTCTTACTTTCATTGCACATACATTAGTAGTCAGAAGCAGTCTAGTTCCTACATGTCACTAAGACTATGTGTACCTCAGTTCTGGCCATGCAGATGGAATTTGCCCTAGGTGAGGTAAGACGCAGATAGAACGTGACAGGTCCTGTCTGACATGTTTGGGAGCTCCGTGACTCACAGAGTTTAGAGATGAAGGCTCTCTGTATTCTCAATTCCTTGCAGCTACCATTAGATAACCCATAAGTAAACCCTACAAAAGAAAGAATAGTCTCCAATGGTTACAAACAGGCTTTTTTTCTGTAAAGAATGAAAACGATTTATTACATTCTCAAAGATTAAAAAATAACAAGCAGCAATTTGTCCTGAACATCAAGCCTTTGCATATGATGCTTATTCTGTAACTATGCCCAATGATGTATTATAGTTAAAGTTGCAATAGACTTATATAACTTTCACCCAATCAATCATGGAAAAAGCAAGAAATATATTCAAATATATTATATTATAGTTTCATCTCAATGCTGCAGGGGGTCTCTCTGGGTTTTTTCCTATTGCATTTCGCCCATATGCAAATTAGCATATGATGTCATCTGGTGATTTATAGAGTCTTTTAGAGGTAGTGTTATCTACCTTCATTGGGAAACAGTTGTAAACACTGCACTAGACACACTGCATTTTGTTTTCCACTGCTACTTCAGTTTTTCTACTGACCACCGTTTCCACTACTGGGGAAAGTAACTGCAAAAGACTTACATGAATACTCTTTGCTAAGTGAGGATAGCTAACAGGAAGAGCAAAAGGCCCGACCTTTTGTTTACACACTTCCTTTTGCACTATACATTGAGCCTTCATTTTCAGACAAAATTTGTAAAAGTGAGGCTTAAAGGGAATTTATCTTAACCCAGATGGTGTCATTTGACTGTAGCCATTAGATCATCATCATCTCTCAAACATTATTTTTGCCTGTTATCCCTCAGGTCCTCTCCCTGAGGCCTGGGAACAAGCTATTACATCAGAGGGAGAAATTTACTACATCAACCACAAGAACAAGAGCACATCCTGGCTTGACCCACGACTTGACCCGCGCTTCGGTGAGTTTACGATGAAAGCAAAATACAATGTAATGTACAATGTATTATGAAGCACCCAAATAACTGAATCTATAGTGAAAGTTTTCTCAAACGTGTGGTTTTTGCGGCAGGCATTTACTTTCCCCAGTACAAAGCTTTGGCTAATCCATACAAGATGTATCACCACATTGTATAAGTGAGTTCAGATATGTATGATTCATTGTTCATTTCACTGCACTATATTGCTTTGGAGTGACTATCCATTGAAAATAGATTTCCACCAATCCCCCACTCTCAAAATCCACACCTAACCTTTTGTCTGCCATTTTAGTGTTGGAGCAACAGCTGAGTTGGCCATTAATCCCCCAGTCCGAGTTTAAGTTTGACAGTTAGCTTTCAGAGTGTGGTGGCCAAAGGGTCGGTGAATCAGTGACAGGGCCTGGTACATGTGTTGAGATCTCTCTGTGGCCATGGGAATGAGCTAATCCTCCTTTGCAAAGGAAGACTTCCAGAGATGAAGGTTCCTGCTTATGTCACTCTGATTCATTTACGCTTCAGGTGCCATCCCTTCATTACAGCTGCATACCCCAGGGAATCTCACCCCGGTTCACAAAGGCAACATGTGTAAATCAGCACGCAGCCCGTTTTCCTGTTTTAATTTTACCTTTACTTTTTTCTGTTTTTATCAAGCCTGCACTTAAAGGGCAGTTTTGTTTTTCTGTAAGCAATTGTTAGTCCCCTCTGAAGGCAGGCAGGAACAGTTCAAAACAGAGTTGTAAGGGGAGTGGGGCAGCTGGGAAAAAATGGCGGCTCTGATCGGCAAACTCTTTGAAGATTTATAAGTCTTGAACACACAAGGCTGCTGGGCCCCTGAAAGCGAGTGAGAGGGAGAAAGAGATCATGTTAACTCGTTATGTGCCATTAAAAAACATTGTTTTGCTCCTCATTTGATACAATACTTATTGTACTTGGTACAACTAAATGTTCACATTTATACCTTGTGTAATACGCTGCTGTTGATAATGCTTTTTGATCTTAGAGACTTTAGAAATCCCCAAAAATACATAAGTAGGCACTTTAAATAACTTATTTCATTGATAAGTGTGACCTAAATGTTTTTTTGTGTGCTTTTTGGTCACATGTTTTCACATTTGTGCACAGAAATGGGCTCCTCAGCTTCAGAAACATATATACTGCTGGTATGTAGGTCTCCAATCACAAGCCAGCTGCCTTGATAATGAAGGCTAATTTGAGCTTTGAGAAGAAAAGCAGCAGAGCGCCTTTAACTGAGGGTTGTTGCCGGCTGGCTTTCCCCTGCGTGAGGCCCACTGCAGGCACAGCCCCATTCTGCTTGAGCTCCAGACAGACTTGAATCTCTGCCAGGCCTCTTTATTCTGTGGTCCAACTCTTAATCTGTTCCAGACCTTTTCAGTCAAAGAACTCCAATGTGAGAGGGGAGGTGGGGGGCAGGGAGAGGCAAGGTGAAAGGGGAAGAAAGAAAAACAGAGGAACAGAGGGAAAATGCCGACGGGATAAGCATGCATCCTCTTTAAGATCCAAGAAGGTGGTGAACAGGGAACAAGCCATGAGTGCACTGTGGCTGGGTTCTAAAGGGGGGCTGGCCTCTGTGTGTGGACATGTTGTTTTCTGTACATACTACTCTGGAGAAACAGCAGGGAAAAACATACTGGGAGGAAAGTGGAGTGCACAAATGCATAGATTTCCTCTGGGAGTTTAATGTTTTGCTTTGAAGCCTTAATGTAAAGCCGTTTGTCCAACACATTGCTGCATTATCTTTCATTTGATGTTTTTCTGCCTCTGCTGTCGAGTACTTCACCACGAGAGTTGGCAGGCTGGACAGTGTTGGTTTTATCTGCGGATTGATTTTATTATGTTTTATTACAACATCTTGGATATCTGCAATTTCTTTGGTGGTGAACCTATTTTGTGCTGCAAATAGCATTAGAAAACAGCAGTTCGTTTTTTTTTTTACATTGGGTTATCCCACTGACCTTGATTCAAACAGTAACATTTATTTTATCCTAAAAGTGTCTTTTGATTCATTTGCGGATCTGACCCTTTAACCCCTTCCTACAGAAGTTGCAGAAATAGTGAAAAAAATAATTGATTTGCAATATTTGTTTATTTCAGTTTCTTTGAACAGCTTTGTTATATTTTTTTATAATGATTGTATTTTAATCAACAAGTAAATCCAACAGACCTTTTATTTTAACCTGTTTTGTAGTGAAATAATTGCCTAATACTTTTTTACCTTCCATCTCCTTGACATGCAGCACCAGGTCAACACAGACTAGCTTTACTCAGACCATAATGTTGTATTCGATGATTAAACAGTGTTTCTATCACATCCAGACTGTTGCTCCACTTTGCTTATCTGAACGCTAGAACACCTTCCCAAGGCGGCCTTTTTTTTTTAAACCTGTTAAATCAAAAGCAGACAAATATTTACCAAACCCTTTAAAGGTGCTAAGCCCTGGCCACATAGAGAACTTCCCACAGCTGGCACACCCTGGGCCCTACCTGCCTCCAGGTGATCTGGTGGTGTATTATGCCTGGGTGTGAGATTTTGCTGATAAGGGCTTGTGTTGCTGGCTCGTTGTGTTGCAGGGGTGCGTGAAGAAGACAAAAGGCAGACGGCATTAACTTGTCTCTTATCTTCATGGCCCACCAGCTATCACCGCCCCAATGTGCTGCTGACTTCAACCACAACCTCCAAAAACTACACACACTCACACACCGTCTTCTCCTTTTATATGCTATCAGTCTGGCCCTGAACTGAACCTGTCCTTCGCTCTTATTTCACTCACAGATGTAATTCCTGCTTTCGATATTGTCATTGTTTTTGCATAGTTCCTAGAGTAGCATTGCTTTCTGTTAGCTGTTTGGTCTGTGAAGGAGTCCTTGACTTAATGCTTCAGGAAAAATCTCAGCTGTAAGATTGCATTTGTCAACATACGGTATAGTGTCATGTGCCTTGCTCGCTTATTTATGCATACTTTCTTTAACAACACACAAATTCCAGTTAATTTAAATTTAAATTGCATTAACATGTTACTGTATTCAACATCAATCCATACATTAAACTCAGTTTTGAAAGAAACAAAACCAGACAGATAATTGGACACAAGCCAACTGCTGAAAGTTATGGAAAGTATGCTCAAAGTTAAACATGATAATATGTAAACTCTGGTGGTTGGAAATGAACCGTTAGGTTAATAATTTTACAGCAAGTCTTCTCTTTTTCCTTCCAATAGATTTAGATATATGATCAAAAGTGGTCACTATGTCTGGCTTCCTATCAGTGATATTACATGAGAAAAATTGTTATCATCGACAGAAAATATGTTCAAACAAGAGTAACAAGACCAATGCTTTTTTGATTCTATTGGTAAATCTAGCCTGTGTGCATAATTTGTCTTGAGAACAGTTAACAGTGCCCCTATGGTGGAGTATTCCAACCACAAAAGGCTTCAGTATCTGTTAGAGATAAGAAGGGGAGACAAGTAACACACTCTCCCATGGCTTCAGTTGTGTGTGGGAGAGAGGAGGCGGCTCCGTGACTGTGTGTGTTTGTGGGAATGTGTATCTGCTGCTGGGGTGGGGTTGTTGGGGGAGGCAGCGTGGACAGAGGGAGGGGAGGGAGAGAGACGGCAGGGCGGGGCGGAGCTTTGCAGAGCTTCCCAGGGAGAGCCCTGAGCCACGGTTCATTCATCTCCTGAGATAGTGTAAACAGACAGTGATTGAATGGTGATGAGAAAGGTGCCGGGGCGGGCAGGACAGCACAGGGAGGCAGCCCCGCATGAAAATTGCGCCCCCGTCAAGGCTTTGTTTTGGTTGGTGCTTCAAGCGTATAAGCAAACAACTCTCCTCATTGGTTCCATTACTGTTACACCCCTCGTGGTCAGGCACATTTGCTTCTCTTTCTCTACTATAGTGGTAAAATGCGTGACCTACTTTGCATGCATAGATTGCTGTGCTCTGCTTTTATCCTCATGTTTATTAGACCCACCCTCGCTAGAGTAAAGAATAACAAAGATTTCCCAGGGGAACAGCTGTGTTTTCAATACACACATTTGTTTCGGATAATGTAAACATGGAGTTGGTGCACAATGCAATTAGGCTTACATTTGTTGAGTGAAAGAACTTTGAAAGTAAAGTGGCACAGTGGTGTAGGTTTTTTTTACATGAATTTGTCTAAGGTCAGAGAAAGGAGCCAGTCAGTATTGAGGGATAATCTGTGATTTGTTTTGAAGGAAACAAAAAGGACAATGAAAGGATAAGTCATAACTGATGCAATGTACGAAACCAACAAAGCCTGTCTTAGTCAGTCAGTGAGTGGGAGGGGATCAGGTCTTACAGGAATAGTGGTTGTTTCAGACACTAGGCGGAAAACGCATGTTGGGACTTCCCTTGTCCTACTCAACCTGCTGCACTGGCTCCACTATTTTTTTCCCCTTGTATACAAAACGCTCAAGCAGCCAGTCTTGTTATGCAGCGTTTAAATGCAGCTAGGCATTAAAAGGTGCAGTTGCAGAGTGTATTTGTGGTTAGCTGGAGCTCCTGCATTGTAGGTGTATGGGAACACACATTTCTTCATGTAGGCATCAAGATTCAAGGTTGATTTTAAAAACATTTTTTATACTAAAGTACCTAGTCATCCTTCACGCATATTCAAGTTTTGTCAAGCATTAATGTGTGATTTATTGAATACTCACACAAAATAAAAGTTTTACAGTATTATTGTGTGTTAAATTTGTTTTGTAAATTTTCTTTTGCAGGCTTGAACCAGCAGAGGATCACTCAGAGCGCTCCAGTGAAGCAGGGAGGACCGCAACCCCCACAATTCATGGGAGGCAACAACCAGATGAGACTGCAGCAGATCGAGAAGGAGAGGATGAGACTGAAGCAACAGGAGCTGCTTCGGCAGAGACCACAGGTCAGGAATCGGAGCTAAAGTATTAAAACAAATATTCAAAGGCCTTTGGAAAACAGTCTTTGGCCTCATGGACGAATAAGTAACGTGTTTCATACTTTCAATGAGTGAAAGACAGTTAGGGTCGTAGCAAGACACTTGACCGCCAACTGCTGGCTGTTTGAATGAGGCATCTGCTAAATATTTACGTAGTGAAACACAATGTACTATCTTCAGAGGCCTTTTAAATATGAGTCATAATTCGTAGGTATAGCATTGGATCTTAAGCCCCTTTGATTTGGCTTTATTGTTTAACCACCCTGCAATTAAGTCTTGTGAGTCATCTGCGGTAATTTTATCACTTCCTAACCGCAATGTGTCACCTTGCCGCCCACACATGGTGGTGCAAAGCAGTCCAGGAGTTTACTCAAGGCCGTGTCATACTAACAGAAACAGAGCTTTATGATTATGAATGAGGGTGCTGGTGACTTGTTGTTTACAATGCCATTCCCCTGGGTTGTTGAAAGTTCACTGTGTAGGAAGTGACCTGAATATGAACAGGCCTCAGGCTGTGGAGGTTAAAGAAAAAAAGATGTGTCCTTACTGCAAGTCCACAGAGCATAGCCCTCCATGCTTGAATAACCTGGTTATTGTGGATTTTCTGAAAAGTCATGTGAAGGAAAAATCTGGTTTGCCTAACGTGGGGTGGGGATTATAAAAAAACATGGGAAGCACTGATAGATTTCAGATGGAGAATACGGATCTTTTACCATGTCAAAGCCTTAACTGGGTTTTAACTTTTCTAAACTTCTTTACACAAGGTTAAACTAGCCAGGTCATATAAGTGTATGCTTTAGTTATTTCCTGGCTCCTTGTTTTGGTGCATGTATGTGTAATGATAAATCCAAAATGTATTATTTTTGCAGGTAAAATATTGAATATGATCATGACACGTGAACAGCTCAACCATTCAAAACACCTCTGAAACCAACACTTTCCAGTTAAAGTAAAAGCGTAATGGAAAATAAAATTGTGCAAATGTATTGCAGACTGTATACATTCCAAGAGCTCCTCTGTCAGACTATTGACAGTAACCCCCATATTTCCGTAACTTTCTTCAGATGTTTGGAATACGAACAGAGGCCATACTGTTTTTGCAAAAATAGGAGAGCGTGATTATAGTAGGAGATTGGGCAATTGTGCATACTATATTCTCGTGTAGGGAGTTCAACTTTGGGGCAATACTTGCCACACCCAAATGGATTCCACATGGCAAAACTATGATGGAGAACGGGTGGCGATGTATGCAACTTGCTGGTGGCAGTCCAGTGTTGGCGATGCTCAGTCATGGCCAAAAAGAGAGCCAATAAAATAAATGTAATCCTTTTCAATCAAACCCAGAATGCAAGGAATTTTGTGATAACATTTTGTTGTTGGAAAAGTAAAAACATCTTCAAGCACTGCTGCAAAAAAAGGGAAAGGCAGGATAAACATATACTTTTTTTTATAACAACAATTGTTTTGCCTCATGGAGTGTGTCCATTTCCCTTAAATATTTCCAATAGCAGCTAAACAATTGGTGGTAATTTTACATTTCAAAATGGTCAAGTCACTTCACCTTCACGTTCAAGGTCCTATTATAGGGCAAGGAGTTGAAAAAGAACAACATGACTTCATATCCGGAGACTTATCTGATCAGAGCGTTATCTGAGCATGTGTAGAAAACAATTGTCTCAAACTGTTGTCGGCCCCTCATGTAATTTGACACTCTGTATGGGGAGAAATGGAGGGCGCCATGTTGGCAGTCTGTACATTCCCTTAAGTTAACATGTAATGCAACACAGCAGCAATGGCATTTGTGACATTAGGTTATTTATTGTGTGACGTGTGAGGTTGATTGTGTTGCTCATGGGATTTGTGCTTTATTTTCCACAGGAGCTGGCCATAAGGAACCAGCTGCCCACCAGTATGGATCAAGATGGCATTACAAACCCTGTGTCCTCCCCTATGGCCCAAGATGCCCGCATCATGACTGCCAACAGCTCCGACCCATTCCTCAACAGGTTGGTTTGATACGCAGGAGTAGACTCATATCTCTTGCACATGGGGTGGGGGCTTCCATCCTGGCTCAGTTGTTCTTACTTAATGTATCCTGTTTGAGGGAATCTGTGTGCTGGACTGTTTGAGCTCCAGTGAGAGCTTTCCTGAGTTACACAAGTAGTAAAACACAGAAGGCCAGTCTATGGGCTTAACCCTCCTCACATGGTAATGTCTCATTTAGAGCAGCAGTTCATTGCACAATGATGACCCCTGGTGTACAACTAGTGCAATGAAGGCAATCAGAATCTTAATGGTGGAAAAAAAAAACTCATTTTAATTAAAGAAAACCAGATGGTCTGAAACTAGGTCTTAAAAAAGCAGCGATAAGAAAAGGGACAGACGTTTTTTCGGACTATCTGTGAATTCTGCTCCATGGTATTCTTGGATATTATTCCTCACAATTCAAGCTCTAGTTCTTCTGTGAGCGGATGAAGTGAGGAGGGAACTGAATAGCAAGCAGGCCATGAGAACATGTGGTCCAGTCAGTAGACAGGCCAACCTAATCTCCCCTCCTCCCCCTGTTGCCTCAACTCCCCTGCTCTCACAATGGCCTCATTCATCCTGCCTCTGCCATACTCTGCCTACATATTTTTCCTCTGCTAATTAGTATAGGCTTGTCAAATGTCTTCTCTCTACCTCTTTGTCTCTCCGTTTGTGCCATTCGTCATTGCTCTTTTTGCAATATTCTGCAATAGAGGACAAAAAAAGTGAATCTGTGGATTATTCAGCCTGGTCGTTCAAACAGATAACTGCTGAAACGTGGATGTATGCGGAAGGTCCCCGAGGGAATTAAGTCACTGTTACTTTGCAGCCTGTGTGCTTTTAATAACTGAGTGTGTTTGCTTTGTCGGATCAGTTAATTAGATTCACGCAGTTCAGTTTCCCAGTAGTTAAGTGAAGGTCATTAAGGTCATCCACAAACTGCTGAGACCAAAAAAGCTTTTTTTTTTTCCTTCAGCGCAACAAAATAATAATGTTTTATAGCATTTTACAGAGTGAATAATCAAGATTTGTGTATTTTCAGTGGGACCTATCACTCCAGGGATGAGAGCACAGACAGCGGCTTGAGTATGAGCAGTTACAGCGTCCCTCGCACTCCAGACGACTTCCTCAACAGTGTGGATGAGATGGACACAGGTGAGGCTGGAAACAAAAGGAACGGGGTGATCTGTAGCATTAGATCCTTTCGCAAAGACTAGCTGAACTTTTGCTGTTTGATGCCCTGTTTTTTTATTTCCCTCAAATTAGTTTAGTCAAACGCCACATTGTATTCATGTTGGCTGAATAGGATGGATATCCTGTTCCAACATCCAACATTTACCTGTAACTCTAGTCATGTAGTCACAACATAGGCCTTCTGCATATAAAAAGCTGCTGATATGAACTTTTATTGAATCTAGTGCCGTTAATAGTAGATTTTCTTTAAATAATCTAGCGATGATGACAGTGGCTTTTTACCAGCCTTGGCTCGTTGATATTTCACAAGTCTTTCTACTATATGTGTAAAGTCATAGCTGTCTTCTCCCAAAACTCCTACTTTGCTTTATGTGAGTTTGAAGGACATATGCACAATTTCAAACTGACTAATATGCGATAAAAATGTTGGAAAAAGTAAAGAACCTAAAGCCTACAGATTACTCAGTATTGCTGGCTACACAGTTAAAATACCTAGCTAGCTAGATAGAATATGCTACTGCCTGATGCTAGCTAGCTAGCAAGCTAGATGTGCTGTGCTCTGCTAATGTAAGCTCTAGCAGTATTACAAGTAGAAACATAACAATTTGAAAACATATATACTTCGCACCTATCCAGGTAACAAATATCATTAGGACACATTCCCTGGACACAATGATGAATTAGCCTTTCATAATTTAGATTATGAAAAACTGAAACAACTATTTTAAGATATTTTTTGTTCTCACATCATAATCAGGGTCTGGAAAAAAAGATTATAAGAGATGTGTTTCAGTTCTATCATTACTGTAAAGCCCACCCAACACTCTCTAGCTTGCTTTGTCAAATTATTAAATGAAATATTTTCCTGTCCATTAGGAGATTCTCTTCCACCCTCCATGGCATCACAGCCCAGCCGCTTCCCCGACTACCTGGACGCCATCCCGGGTACAGACGTGGACCTGGGCACCCTTGAGAGTGAGAGCATGGCGGTGGAGGGCGAGGAGCTGATGCCCAGTCTCCAGGAGGCGCTGAGCTCTGACATCCTCAATGACATGGAGACAGTGCTGGCAGCTACCAAGATCGACAAGGAGAGCTTCCTCACGTGGTTATAGAAGATCACACACTCCTCTCCTCACACTCTGAACTGCTGCCTGCTCTGATCTGTGAAGGAGCCATAGATGCTTTTACAAGACGTTTCAGCGAGCCTCTCTGAACTTCTGTCTCGGCGTGTAAAGCCAACCTATTTTGAGGCAGTATTGTTCTTTTCTTTTCACTGGTGTGTTATCTCTTTTATTTTGTCTGTGTCTTCAAGGCTGGCCCATGAACAGACAATAACGCAAGGGTCCCCAAAATCATTCACAGATCTGTCAATGAATCTAGGGCATCTTTACCTTCCTCCTTGTCTCTCCTCCTCATGGCTGAGCTGGGCAGGTGCATGAACTCTTCTGCAAGAACTGCTGACATCAGTTATCACCTGGACTCTATGGTGCCTCTTTTCTTGCAATATAGCATGAATCAGAACTACTTAACTGCGTTTGGGACTATTGCATCTAGCTTAAGTAGCTTTATATTTGGCCTTGTACATTTTTATTCTTGTGTTTGTTTGTTTTTAACGAGCCTGAGAAACCAAAAATGATGTATTCGAAGCATATGGAACAATACTGATTTGGAGTAAAGGTAATGTTAGTCCCAGTTTGAGCATGTTGGCTTGCTGTGGGGTGGGGGTGTGGGGGTGGGGGGGGTTGGAGCCTGGGGACCGACTACATTGCTGCTTGGCTGTGCCAGCAAGTCTAAGTTAAACCTTTGATAGATCAAGTGCCTTCAGTTGTATTCTTTAAGACGTGAGCAACACGAACAAATACTCAGTTTCTGTACCACAGCAATACGCATTAGACTGTATGAATTTACATCAGCAACACTTTCCTCTATCTAATGTTCAATAATCAGAATTTTATTTTTGTTTTATAAACACATTATAAGGGGGATTTAGGGATTTATTTTGGTTTTTAAATCCTAGCTTCTAAGTATCTGAGTCTTATCCAAGCCTAATTCATGATTCATTCTTTGATTTATCTTTTAGGTATTATTTTATTTTTTAGTTTACTACATATGTATAATAGCTTAGATCAAAATGGCATTTTGCTTGTTGTTTTTAATTTCTTTTATAGACGAATTAATACATTTTTAACAGGGTCTACTGTTATCACAGCACACCATGTCACAAAGTGGTGCCGAAGTCTGCCAAGACACAGAATGATTCAGTTTGGGTTGTTTTTTTAACCATTTAGCTGATTTTCACCCTGTCTCTGATTTACTATACATATTAGTGTTATTGTTTTTTTTTTGTTCACATGCAGCTTATAGTATCTCTATGAAAAAATTAACCAAAAAAAGTCAGATCTCTTGGCTAAAAAGAACCTAGAGCTCTTTGATCAATTAAACCTTGTGACAAATACAGTATACGAGAGATAAAATGTGTGGTCTTCCTGAGGAGGGAGCGGGGCCCCTCTGTGCGACGCTGTGTGTTGAAATGAGGGGTTTATAGAAAACAGCTAGGACAAGTTTAAGCAGGTTTCAGAGTCATGTTGAGGGGTAGTGTAGAAGGCCAGGGTTTGACTGATGGCGGTGAGTTACACGGATTGTTGATTTATTTTTTTGTGAAATAATTGAGAAACAATCAGTTATTATCTCAGTCAGGAATTGTTGTGGCAGATTCCAAAGATGTTTTTTTTGTAATGACGCAAACACTTGTTGCCTCCATTTTCACACAGTCCAGAAACGGTATGATTTGTCAATCAGCCTCTGTATGAACACACTGTATAAGCTAATGAGAAAATGATGTAGGTTGAAAGTGTTAATGGACATGTCTGAATAGGTCTAGCTGAGAGATTTTTTTTTTAATTTTTTTTTTTTACTTTTTAGACAAGATGGTTGTTTTGAGTGACTAACCCAGACATTTAAAGATGAGGTTTAAAAACAGAGAAGCAAGTGATTCTTCTTGAAGCGCTCACATGTTTACATTTTCTCTAAGTAACTAGACATCACACCAACAATTATTCATTATCACAAAATATGGCTACATATTTGCATGACTGCAGTAAGTTTTGAATGATCAGCCTGCCGTACATGCCCTGGGTTGAAGCCTTGGAGGGTGTCACACTGATTTTTGCCAACCAATGCTGAATTGAAAGCATTAACTTGATGAAACAATATTGATGTTGTTTTAGATCCGAGATCATGAACAATTTTTTTTAATCCTGTGTGAGAAGGCTCTTTTTAGTTTTGATTTTACTGATCATTAAGTCATTTGTTGATGATGGATTAAAGACAGATAAACAGTGTTGGTGAGAACAATGCAACTAAAATGAGTGGTACACTACAGTGCTTGTATTGCACGGCTACAGAGTTTCATTTTGATGCAATGACACATTTTGTCACACAGACCTGATTTTATGCTTACTTAGTGTGTAATTGTCAGAGCATATTAGCTGTTGACTGTCATTGTAGCAGTAGAACTAATCAAACAAGTTAAAGGATTTTGTATTTAGAGTTTTCTAAATGCACATGAAATGAATTTATATTCAGTATGATCTGTTCATTTTTTTTGATAGATATGTGCATGTGTTTTAGAAAAATAAATTCTGTTACATTATATCGTGCTTCATAATAATACTTTGGAATTGGCCTGAAATAAAGTGTGTGTGTGTGTGTGTGTGTGTGTGTGTGTGTGTGTGTGTGTGTGTGTGTGTGTGTGTGTGTGTGTGTGTGTGTGTGTGTGTGTGTGTGGTGTGTGTGTGTGTGTGTTGTGTGTGTGTGTGTGTGTGTGTGTGTGTGTGTTGTGTGTTTGGTGGTGTGTGTGTGTGTGTGTGTGTGTGTGTGTGTGTGTGTGTGTGTGTGTGTGTGTGTGTGTGTGTCCTAGAATCAAAAAAAAGAAACCTGCAAGTTCTCAATGGATTTTAAAACAGCCCCATTCATTATAAACATACTTAAGTATTTATGTTGTGTTTAGCTTTGACCATCATCGCAAATATGTTCTCGCACTATATTATGAAATTGTTTATGGCATACTACGTTAGAACATTTATGACATTTTTAACGTGTGCAATGTTATAAAAGTGTCTAATGCATACATATTTAAACAAAAAAAAAGGAAGTTCTATACAACATTTCTGTCCGACCTACTGTATGACTGATTATTAATTGTATGTTTTTTTATGTTTTATAGTACTAAACCCGATTTTCTGACATATTATAGTATTCTGTTTTTAATTGCTCTTTAATTGATATGCTGTGGCTATTTAATTACTTTTTAATTACATACTATGTGATAACTTTTCGTGACATGCTATGACTTTTTTATGAAATACTATCACGACTTTTTTGGTACTATACTATGACTTTTTGTATCACTTTCTCATGACAGACTGTACTATGATTTTTATGACATATTAGTTTTTTTAATATCTTTTTATGACTTACTCTGCAATACTTTTTAATGACATACTATACTAGAGTTTTTTATGCGTTATATTACATACTATGTGATTACTTTTTGTGACGTCCTAAAGTATGCGTTTTTATTACATACTATGCTATGACTTTTTATATGAAATAATGCTATTACTTTTTATAACATACTATACTATAATTATTAGGCATATTTAATCATAATTCTATGACGTACTTTACCATGTCCATTTTGACATACAATACTAGGATTTGTTCATGACATTTTATAGACACACAAACATTTAAAATCTTTTTTAATGACACTATTGAGTTCATCTTCATGAATCTGTTTATGGAATACTATACTATGACTTCGTATGACATACTATATTTTGATTTTGTATACATTTTAATCACATACTATCCTATTTTTGGATATACTATGCTATAACCTTTTTATGGCATACTAGGATTTTTATTTTTACAAACTTAATGACTTATTTAAGAAATATTTGATGGTTATAACTTTTTTTATGAAATAGTATACTATGACTTTTGTAAGATTCATATTACTATCACTTTTTTAAACAAACTTTACCTTTTCATGTATTAATCAACAACAAAACAACAGCTGTTAGAAAACTATTACTATGATTGAAAGAATGATATTTAAGAAAACAGGCATCCCAAAAGGCAAAACGTGAACCAAATAAGCACATTTTATATATTTGTTTATTCAAATCAATTTGATTAATTACATGTATTATAATGTCTCATTACTATCCCAATACTTATTAAATATCACATGAAAAAATGAAGGGTTACATTACTTAAACTGCATCGAAAACTACCACAGAAGAAAAAACATAAACAATAACTAAGAAAACATTTGTTGTGGCAAGGTTCTCCGTGTGCATGTCTGAGCAAAACTTCTGAAGGTAAATAACGTCATGCTAAATAGTGGATGCAGATTTAGAAACTTAACTTGGAATACCAAGATGAACTTGAAAGCAACACAGCAATGTTTTTTTTCACAGTGTGAATTGATATTTTATCCTTTACCACAGCACTACGGCATGAATATGACAAACCATATAAACATTCACTGAAAAGAAAAGTAGTTTCGTGATATACCAGGAATAAAATATGCAGGAGTACTAAGGACAGAACACAAATTCCTTTCACAGTTATTACCATACAAAACAATACAGTATACTTGGATAACAAATAATATGAGTTTATAAAATTCAATTTAAACATTATTTACAAATGTTCCCCCTAACACCGATAATCTCTATACTCTGAGCTGCGGGTTGATAGCAATCTGTGACCCAAATTCATGAGTGACTGCCCAGAATCTCATCCAAATTTATATCTTTCATCCAATCATCATTGCCAGAGCCAGACTTGAGCAGAGAGTCTATGAAGTCTGAGTCTGTGTTGATCCCTGGAACTGTGTTGTCTCCCTCAGGGAGGAAGTCAAAGGTCAGACGGTTGGCCCGGTTATTCTGGTAACTGCTAGAGCCGGGCTCTGCAAAGTTCCCTGCTGGTACCCTCTGTTCAGGAGAGGCCTGGTTCAGGGTCCCCATTGTTGATGGAGATCCCATCATCGGCTGGTTTGGTCTTGGAACTGTGTCTCTTAGTGAAGGGTTAAGAGGGAGCATCCCAATGTCTGGTGCTACCTGGTTTTGAGGGCCGATGTGCCTCTGTTGGTAGGGGTGGGTTGGCATGTCCAGCTGCCCACCCTGAGACTGGAGGGGATTGGGTAACCGTCTAACAAGTCCAGTTGTCACTTGCTTGTTGGCTGAGCCCCAGCCCATGTTAACATTTTTCATCAAGCCTCCGAGGGCCTGTCCTGGGATCCCTGAGGAATGCAGGTCAGCTGTTCTCGGCTGCTGTACACCTGCTACATTGTTCATCCCAAAAGAATTTCCGTGTGTGCTTGGCCCCAAGAACCTAGCTTTATTTTGATTGAGTCCAATTCGATTCTGATTGTTATGCTGCTGGAATTGACCAATACAGGGATTCGGACGAAGGTCAGTCCCGATACCAAACCTGCGGTCCGATGGTGGCTGACTCATCTTCGGGCCGGGCCCATTTGGGAGGTGACAGGACATAGACTGTAGGTCATTCTCAGGCCCATTGCTGGAAGACTGGGAGGAGTTTTGACCTACAAAGATATCAAGAAAAACTTATTATAATTATGGCTGCTTATTTTTAATTCAAGCACTTCCCACTAATGAAAACTGCACATTACCTGTGAAGAGGT